CCGGGGCCCAGCAGGTCGAGGCTGCAGTGGCAGGGAGCGGCCACTGCACTCCAGTCTGGGTTACAGAGTGAGACTCCAACTCAAAAAAAAAAAACTTGTAAGAACACTACAGAGGCCAATCATGGTGGCTCAACCCTGTAATCCCAGCACGTTGGGAGGCTGAGGCAAGAGGATTTCCTGAGCCCAGGATGTTGAGACCAGCCTCGGCAGCAGAGTGAGACTCTCGACTCAAAAAAAAAAAAATTGAAGAAAATGCACATGCTATATAACATAAAGTAACTATATAACGTGTGTGTATATAGATACACACACACACATATATATATATACACACATGTACATGCAATCATTGTCAGATCTCAGTTATGTAAAAATATGCGTTCCTAATAATGGTTTATCTTGAGTTACTTACAACATGTCACAACAACCCTTTAAAGTAAGTACTATTAATTCTAGTTATTCACAGTGTAAGCAAAAGAAAAAAATTAAAAATTTGTGGTTTGTTGTTTGTTTTTAACTAGGAAAGGTAATTTTATTTTATTTATTTATTTATTTATTTATTTATTTTTTGAGTTGGAGTCTCACTCTGTCACCCAGACTGGAGTGCAGTGCAGCCACTGCAGCCTCGACCTGCTGGGCTCCGGCGATCCTTCCGCCTCAGCCTTCCAAGTAGCTGGAACTACAGGCTCGCGCTACCACACCCGGCTAATTTTTTTTTTTATTTTATTGTAGAGATGAGGTCTCACCAAGTTGCCCAGGCGGGTCTCGAACCCGCGGGCTCAGGCAATCCACTCACCTCAGCCTCCCAAAGTGCTGGGATTACAGGCTGAGCCACCGAGCCCGATTAGGAAAGGTAATTTTATTAAAGGAAAGATACATCATCAAGGTGACAATGGATAGGGCAGCAGGGAAACTGCCTGCTGTCTACTACCTGTTTTTTTTTTTGTTTTTTTTTTTGAGTTGGAGTCTCTCACTCTGTTGCCCAGGCTGGAATGCAGTGGCACGTTCATGGCCACCGCAGCCTCGACCTCCTGTCCTTCCGCCACAGCCTTCCAAATAGCTGGAACCACAGCATCACCATGTCTGGCTAATTTTTTTTGATCTCTTATAAAGACAAGGTCTCGCCATATTGCCTAGGCTGGTTTCAAATATTGGACTCAGACAATCCTCTCGCTTCTACCTCCCAAAGTGCTAGAATTACAGGCGTGAACCACCGCATTTGGCCTAAAACGATTTTTTTTTTTAAAATAGGTACTGTTATGTACACTTTGCAGATGAGATAACTAATGCATAAAGGGGCCAGGTAATTTTTTCAAGGAAAATTTCCCGCAGTTAACAGAGCAGAGTTCAGACTTGCAACCCAGTGAGTTAGGCTGTAAAGCTCATACTCTGGTTTGTTTTGTTTTATTTTATTTTTTTGAGTTAGAATCTTACTCTGTGGCCCAAGCTGGATTGCAGTGGCATGATCCTGATCACTGCAGTCTCCACCTCCTGGGCTCAGGTGTTCCTTCTGCCTCAGCCTCTCTGGTAGCTGGGAATACAGGTGTATGCCACTACGCCCAGCTAATTTTTTTATATTTTGTGGCTAGTCTTGAACCCCTGGGCTCAGACAATCCTCTCGCCTCAGCCTCCCAAAGTGCTGGGATTACAGGGGTGAGTCACCCCCCTGGCCTAAAGTTCACATGGTTAACCACTATATTAGCCAGGGAGAAGTCTGTCAAAATGTTCATTATTTTCAGAGAGCAGTCTGTTTTTTCCAGGTTTTTAGATTCAGACTTATTATAGGAGTTAAATGATAAACTTTTGAGTAGGAAAGAAGGTGGGTGGTAAAATTCGAAGGAAAAACATAAACCTTAGAACAAAAAAATTCATCTCATTTTCTTTTCTTCTTTTCTAAATTTTCCAGAAGAACTGACGACTCCCACAATCCTGCAGTCCACTGAGGCCGGGTCCCCAGAAGATGGAGCTAGCACAGCACTCATTGCAGGTAACAGGCTCTGAGCCAAATCCAAGGGGCCTTCTGGGATCAGGGGTATCTCCAGATGTTCTCACACAGGAAGAGCACCATGACATCAGGGACCAAATCCACAATGGGCTCACTCTGGCTCATAGGGTGTCTTACACACACACACACACACACACACACACACACACACACACACACACACACACACGCACAGCTATAAAAGACTCAGAGGCTTCTGTCAGAGGCACTGCCGGTAAATGATAGGTTGGGAGGTGGCCACAAATAGATACGCACGTTCCCCTGGAGTATGGTAGAAATGAGGATGTATGTGGTTTGTCAGCTGGTGAGGAAGAGGGGGAGGATCAGAGAAACCCCTACAGGAGGCTGTGGATTTAAAAAACACTTCCTGTTGGAATAAGCCATTTCCTGTTTCCCTCCTTCCTGTTTTTTTTTGAGTCAGAGTCTCACTCTTGTCGCCCAGGCTGGAGTGTAGTGGCACGCTCACGGCCACCACAGCCTCAACCTGCTGGGCTCAGGCAATCCTTCTGCTTCAGCCTTCCAAGTAGCTGGAACTACAGACACGTGCCACCACACCAGGCTAATTTTTTTATTTATTGCAGAGACGAGCTCTCGCCAAGTTGCCCAGGCTGGTCTCGAACGCCTGGGCTCAGGCAGTCCAACTCCCCTCGGCCTCCCAAAGTGCTGGGATTACAGGCATGAGCCGCCCCGCCCAGCCTCCTCCTTCCTGTTTCTATCATTGTCGTCAGGGACTGGTTCGGAAGAGAGTTCACTTTTGTCAGAAATCAAAAGCATTGTGTCTGTAGTAAGCACCAGGAGACCCCAGGTGTCATGCACCTTGGAAACTGGGCTTGGTGGGGGAACATGGATTTGGATGGGAGTGGACACTAGTTAACTAGAGCAAGAGGATTCTCATGAAGAGTAAGGCGGTCGTCTAAATCAGGCAGCCTGTGAGTCAGAGCTCGCCTCCATCCTGAAACATCTCTGCATTTTCCCTCTCCTTTCCAAGTTGTTATCACCGTGGTCTTCCTCACCCTGCTCTCAGTCATGATCTTGATCTTCTTCTACCTGTACAAGAACAAAGGCAGCTACGTCACCTATGAACCTGCAGAAGGCGAGCCCAGTGCCATCCTCCAGATGGAGAGTGACTCAGCCAAGAGCAGAGAGAAGGAAGAATATTTCATCTGATTCCCAGGCCCCACAGAGCTTGTTCCCGGCTCCAGCACTATCACACAGACTGTTTTATTTATTAGGTGAGAGTTTCCTCTGAAGCTAGTGAGAAGCATTGACTGATGTGGGCAAGTCCAAGCTCCTCCAGGATGCAGTCCCAAATGCCAACATCACTGACTCTGGGGACCAGGGACCTGGAGAAAGCTGCTTATGATGTCTTAACCAGGCCCCTTGTGAGAGAGCTGCTGTTTGTGACTTGCCCACAAGGTGGGGCTATACCAGGGGACATTTGAGTGTGTGCCTGGTCATCTTACCTTTTTCACAGGTTAAAAGGAGGGAAAAGAGAGGGTTGCTGGCTGCTCCACTCTGTCCCCTACCTGGTTACCTGGTGAAGGCCCCAGTGGAGATATTGTCCACAGGAGTTCTTAGACCAGGCCAGGAGGGGTAGAAGACTATGGCGACCTTACCTTCTGACATAAATGTGCTACGTCCTTTCATCTGAGCCCATCCTTTCCATGTTCCCCAACAACCTCATACCTGTGCGATTTTTATCCAAATTAAAAATTTTCATCAATACAGAACTCAGAGTCTTATGTGCAAAAAGTAACTACCTATGCATTTGACTTATCCTTGCTTAAACTTTTTTGACATTTTCTTTTGTCTACATAAGTCCTTTGCATATGTTCACTCCCTAGCAGTAAGGACCCTAGGGAATTTCCAGAGGTTTCCAGAACTGTCTCGGGGGCTTGAGAGAAAGACAATCCAGGGAAGCTTGTCCCTGAGGAGCGTCATCAGAAACACCCTGGGAGATAAAGTTGGCTTAGCCTCCATCCTGGCAAGAACTCATTCTATGTATGCATCGAGAGAGTCAGGAAAAAAATCAGGAAAAAATCTACATACTGCATCTCCTAGCAGTCCTCAGAATCAAGGCAAGAAGGTTCTTGGATTTAACTTATTCTCAAAAGGAGGTGTGTCCAAAGGGTACCAAATGTTTTGGTATAAATCACTAGCTCCTCAGGTATTTACTTCCGAATTAAGCTTGACCGCCTTTGAGGTCTCCATGCATTGCCTCCTTTCTTGAAGCTCAAACCTACCCACGGTGAGATCCAAGAGTTGAGGAATCAATCTTGGCAGCCTAGGTTCTAGGAGTTTCTAGTATTTCTCCACACAGAACTTTGGAGAAACTGATACAAATTGCTATACTAGAACTTTTTCCTCAAGCCAAACTTTAGAGAAATCAGTAGAATTAATAGTTCCCTTATTTCTAAGTTTAGGTTCTAAATTCCAAAATCTGAAAGAGTTCAGGAAGTGAGGAAAAGTTGGACATCTCGAGTGGAATTCATGAGAATGGGCAAGTCTTAGGCTTGTACTGCTGCATTTATTTCAAAGTCTTAATTAAAGAAAACAGAACCACAGCACCTAGCTAAATTCTAGACAGGATATAAAAGCAGATATACAGAGAAGAAATCTAAAAACAAGCTGAGTAAAGAATCCTTGGAATGAGGTGTAATGCAACTTCATCACTTTATTCAAATCTTCAAAATAGTCTTTATTCTACATTTTTAGTATAAAAAATCCACAAGTTAAGTGCACCACAGTGTAGAGAGAGACATACGACGCTGAACTTCCATAACAGTCAATGGTACAGTCAAACATCACATGTAGAGAACACAAAATTTAGATGAACTGAAATTATAAGATAAAATAAAATAAAATCCAATTTCAGAAAACAAAAATCAAAATATTAAGGATCCCTGAAATACTCTTAACCCTAATGAGATTTCACTGGACTCAAGTCATTTTGCAGTGAGGCATTCACAATATGACCCCATACCCAGTCTAGGAATTCTTGGAAGCCATGAGTGGCTGCGTCAGACACTCTGACAAAAAACAGTAACCCATTTTTGATCTAAGAACTCCCCTTAATTTGGCTTTAAAGACATCAATCACATTTTTGCAATGCATCCTCCTCCTTGCCCCCCCTATTTTAAACAAACTGTTGTTTACAGTACAGTTTGCACGATAGCCTTTGTTCAAACAAAGCTCAGTTTTTCTGGCACCAAAGCAAGAGTGGGTTGGGGTCGTGTATGCAGAGACAACCTACGAGGAGGGTCTGGCAGGCACCCCCCACTTTTGCCTGAGGAGATACAGAAGCAGAAGTGATGGGATCTGTGCTTGGGGCACAGAGGGGTTCAGAGGATCCTTGTGAAAGGCGAGTTAGAGGATGACACGCGGGCAGTGCAAGGAGAGAAGGGATTCGTCGAACTGGCTTTCTGTCCTGCACCATTGAGTCGATGGAAACTGGCGAGCGGGAGACGGGGGTGGGGGAGATGTGGGCAGAGGAGGGAGAAGAAGAGGCAGACAACGAATGCGCTTCATTTATGACAAGTACTAGAAATCAAAGATTTAAGGAGATTAAAGACCAATCAGGATAATTTGGCAACTTTAATTCTCAGGAAGATCAAAGTTCCCTCCAAACCTAATTTGATGTTTTATTACTAAAAGCAAAGACCAGTATGGTATAGTATTACTCCGGAGAAATGAAAGGGAGATCCTTAGGGCTGCATCAGCCACATTCATTTTATGAATGGACACCTCCCCTACCTCAAATGCTTTAGGGAGGTACTGCTACCATTACATGGTTCCTTATTAAATTTGAAAAGTGCCTGAAAGTTTGGGCACCAGAAAGACACCCCAACAACATGTGTCTAAACTGCAACTTCAGGTTAATATGACTAAAGCAGTTACATTGTGAGAAGTGCTGAAGGTACGTGATGTCTTTCCCGGCACAGAGGTGGCCTCGGTTCCTCACCAGATGGTGTAGCCACCATCTGAGCCACTCACGAAGAAGTTCCCCTTGCGTTGAGTTACCAGGACGTTGGCTCCCTGCATGACTGCAAGCTGAGCAGCATTGGGAGGGCATCCAGGGGGTGGAGGCTGAAAGGGAAGGACAGGAGAATGGGCCCAGGGCAGCCAATACAAGGGAAGGGGGCATGGTGAAGCACAGGCCCGCCAAGAAGATGGCAGTGTGCGACCAATTACATTTTAAGGAGCTATTTCTGCCACCAATGTGAGTTCTAAAGTGGGGCTATATTCTCTGTGAACCCGAAGATACAGGCAGGAAAGGGAGCCTAGCACTTATTCCAGGGGTCCAGCTCTAAGATGAAGCCTGGTGCTGCCTTCTGAATAGAAACAGGCCAGACCCACCGTCATTTCCCAGGTAGGAAATCACCCCGCTCACATTCCCACAACAGGGACAGGATGCCAGGACCACATCAGAGTCCCAACGTAGTTTCTAGACAGACTACTGAATAACCCAAAGGCTCGCTAAGGATACATCTTCCCCTCAACTCCAGCACACAGCTACCAAGTAAACAGGCGTGGCAAGGACTGTTTGGGCTCTAAATCCCACACATCAGAGACTCTGCAGGAGACGACAGTAACTAGACTTGCTAGTATCTTTCTAAAAGCAACTTAATAGGGATTATGCATTCTAGTTTTTCATCAGGGTTCCTAGTACAACACCGTGTTGATGACAAATATTAAATACTTATGGAATGAATAAGGAGCACAAGACCAGTTCACAGTATGAAAGTGAACCGGAAGAGCAGCAAGCGGACTTTCAGAATAGGATCTTGGGTTAACTCAGACCCCAATGAACCTGCCAGATGCTACTCACTTGCCTTGTTCTCTTGCCCCCCCAACCACTTTCTGCCTGACTACTGGGTGTCGGTGGTTGCACCAACACTGGCCACTGTTATCCAGGGAGTGGGAGAGAACGAATATGAAGTCATTCCAGAAAGTTAGAAGGCGCAAGGGCTGAGTTTTTTCTGGAAGGGGATACTCACAGGAATGTTGCCAGCAGTAGCCCCAGCTCCGAATCTGGCACCTGCATCATATCCTCCTTCCACCAGCACGGTGGAGCCAGGCGGGTAGATGGGACCAACTGGGTAATAAGCCATGGGGATTGTGGAACCTAAAGGCCCAACAGCCACCGACTGGGCCATGGGAAGATACAGAGAGGCGCCAGGAAACGCAGCTGACATGGTGGGTACTGTGGCAGCCCCTGGGTGCACAAAGCTGGGACGATAGAGCTGGAAGAGGCACAAGAGAAGGCACAGTGTTACTTTATGACATTCCTACTTGAGTTTTATTCCTATTTAATGAGTCAAAAAAAAATTTTTTTTGAGTTGGAGTCTCAGTCTGTCACCCAGGCTGGAGTGCAGTGACACAGTCTTGGCTCACCACAGCCTCAAACTCCTGGGCTCAGGCAATCCTTCCACCTCAGCCTCCCTAGGAGCTGTAACTACAGGCACCTGGCACCATGCCTGGCTAATTATTTTAACTTCTTTGTAGAGACAGGGTCTTGCTGTGTTGCCCAGGCTGATCTCGAATTCCTGGGCTCAAGCAATCCTCCCACCTCAGCCTCCCAAAGTGTTGGGATTACAGGCGTGAGCCACTGCACTAACCTAATGAGTCAATTCTTAATTCTCCTCGTGCAGATTTTACTTCCTGTGATTTACCTAAGTTGCCTCTCCCCTAGCATTCACTGTATCCCTGGATCCCTTCCTGCCATAGCTAATGTCAGGCTCACAGAATGTAAGTTCATCCTCTGAACCTCAGCCCGTGCCAAACAACACAAAATAATCAAATGAAGCATTCTCAACTCCAACCGAAACGGCCGGATTATATAATGTTTCAGCGTAATCATGGGAGTCCTCTCTTCTGTTCCTGAGAGTAAATATGCCTGGGAAGTATGACTTAGCTAAAAACTCAAAGTGTGCTCCAACAATATTCTCCCCTAGTTCAAGGGTGGCAAGCTGGAAGCACCTCTGAGTAGGCGGGCGGAGCATCAGTGTAGGGTGGAGCCTGAGGAAGATGCAAGGTCTGAGGGTAGACTGGATTCCCGGGAGGCTGCACAGGGTAGGTTGGCTGCGTTGGATATTGACCTGGAAGACAAGAAAGTATGCAGGTTGTCTAGTCTACAGTCACCAAAACGGGGCCGGAGAACTGGGGAGCACACCAGTGGGAGCAAGCAGAAAGGGAACTGGCACCAAGAAAACACACACAGTCTTTGCGGCCTCAAGGCCTCAAAGCGAAAGACGCTGCTCCCACGGACCTCCTGATGTACGGGGAAAGCCTAGCGGGGCCCAAACTCCCTCCGGAATGCAGGGCAGGTCTGGGCACTGGTTCCGACGGGTCTGGCCCGCGGGTGTACCAAGGCTGTCTCTCCATAGGCTAGTCTGTAACCAGCCCAGACCTCGCGGGTGACGTGGTTTTCATATATCTCCCGGATTCCTATTCAAGGTCGACTTCCAAATAAAGAGAGTGTAGAAGGCGGGGGGAATCCTGGGGGAAGGGGTGAACGGGGATGGGAGAAGCTGGGGGCCGTGTGCGGACAGACACACCGGTACGATCATAGGAACGGGAAGAAGGGCCAGTCCCCCCGGCGAAGGGCGAAGAGGTGCGAAGGGAAGGAGAAGAGGGACCTCGCAGGCCCCGGCCGGGTAGCCACCCGGCAATTCACGAGTTAAACCCGGGCCCGGCCTGCGGTTCCGGAGCGCGGCGCCCCGC